AGAGGGGTTGCCGGAAGAACCACTGAGCAAGCAAACGAGGTTGGATTAACCTCATGTTTAGCTATGACTCTCATACTATCCATGACATGAGCATTATATGCACACAATAGACAATAGTACAAGCCCAAACATGTTTCAACATTAGAGCATCGTGCACTAGTTTATTTTCGTAAGGAGACAGCTGACACTGACTGTATTTCAGATTCGGGAGGTTGAATTCACTCATTTGCACGCATGTAGAGAAGGTTGAAGTAGCCGACGAAATCATGTTATGCTTCATTAAGATCGCGAATTTAAGCGTATATAAAAGCGACTAAGGTTCAGCCGACTACCTTTACTCTTGGGTCAGTATATTTGTACTCTATTTCGTGAAGTTTGAATACTTGCTTTGATGATGTCTGTAACGGTGGTACAGACGAGAGCTTAGCACAATTTCATTGGGGTCGCAGGACAGTGAGTCGAGTACTTGTTCGCACAATTCAACAGTCTGCCCTACGCGACAATCCTTTTTCGGTTTCCGATGAGAGCACATCACGAATTCCTTACAATCATCTTTCTCTCTGAAATGGAGAGTCATACCACGATATTATATTTTTCAACTCTGCGTGATATCCGACTGTGGAAAATTTTAAATCTTGGTTTCGAAGTATTATTTAGGGCTTAAACCTCCCACTTTGCTCTTAAGCATTGCATGTCTGTGTACTAATGCCAAACATTGCACACACTAACAATCTAGGATGAAAATGCATGTTATTGGCGAAGGAAATGGATGTCTGATCGCATCTACACCACAATCACATCCAAGCATGAAATCTAGAAGCGAGTGTTTGGAGGCCTTATTTTGTTAGCGAAACTTGATTATAGAATATTAATAAACGTAGGTCTTGATATATAATTATTGCACTTTGTTATAAAAGCATTTTAAGACTGTTTCCACCAAAGGCGCCGGCAGATTCTTCTTGGTAAATGCTGTCCTCATCATTGTAACTCTTTTAACCTAATGGGGTAAGAAAAGTCACCGACTTATTCCTACCTGCTCTATATACATGCTAAACATGTGAACTTTTATGACGTATAGACAGATCTCACGAGACCTAGTCTCCCATCAAAAGTACGATATTAGGCATGGCAACAAGATTCTTGCGTATTTCCAAATGTCTGTTCTCCTTTCGGATCGTTGCAGCCAGCAGCCTTTACATGCGCGTTTTAACTGGAAGCGAGCACGATTTTCTCGGGGACAGCTTCTTCCAAGTTAGAGTTAAGCAAAACGACAGCTGGTCAAGAGAAATCCGTCATCGTCTTCCGGTTGGATCGGCCATCTAAGCACTTTACTAACCGCATTCAACACCAGTTTGCAACAATTAAATAGGACTTTTTGTTGTATCTTGACGAAGCATGATCCCTCTCTCTGACGATGTCTGTCATGAGACGATGGATGAAAGATCTGCACGAATGATTCGGACTTGGTGGACGATGTACCGAGGACACTTATACACTAAAAGATACGTAACTAGACTGTTCGAGTCGATATTTTGAATAATCCCTCGGCAAAAGTGAGTATTTTTGCCGTCACCCGCGTTACCGTCTCTGTTGCTGGCACTCGAGCTGCCGAACCGGCATACACACACACACTCTAACGTCCGTTACGATAATCCGTTTATATGGTTTAGACGCGAATGGATATGGGCGACTTTTAATTCAAGATTTATCTTTTTCACTCCTCTCTCCTATTCACATGGCTCGAGCTCTAATTACTAACGAGATTTTCTGATATAAAATTCAACCCCAATTTACGAGAATGCAGCAACTCAGGCCACTCCCAGTGATCGATATAAAATTGACGCTTTATTGCAGATCGTCAAATTAGATGCAATATGAGTATGAGCATTAGTATTAAAAGCGGTTTTCTTCCACCGTGTAAATAGAGCTCATCCTTTGCAGTAGTATTATTTTATATATCCTTTTTTTGCCTACAAGCCATAACTGTGGGCTCGAACAAGTTGAATTATTAAGGAATGCTTTTCATCTATAATTGATGGAAAAGATCTTTCTAACATTATGGCGTAATAAATCAAATTCATTCTTCCTATTGCGTGCTAGCCTGTAATCAGCTAATCTGACTTCGGTGATGGAAAATCTATTCCTCGTGGGACAAACGATATGATGGTTAATCTTCTCTCCACATTATCGCTGCAACCCGGTGCCCGCTCTTTCTCGGAAGGAAGGCTTCAATAATGAAAAGAGTGTCTTCCTTTTGCTCAAAATTGTCCCTCCTTTTCCAGACCCTCTTGACCCCGGTCTTTCCATCGAGCCAGAGCTGCCCTGTGAGCAGGACACGACAGATGCTAGAGCAGGCCGAACTGGAGGAGGAACAGCTGAACTGGCCCGTGGTCACCGGACCGGAGATGGCATCCTGAGCGGCTTCCAGACTCGCTGCCTCCGAGTGGTGGCTGATTTGCTGATCTGCCCGAACACAGTGTTGCCGATCGCGATCGGACTTTTTACGCGGCCCAGCTCGACCGCCAAAGCCGCCTATCTGCAGCGGATCAGCGGTGAGAGTGACAGAACCGAAGCGAAATGGCATACTATTGATAGACAAGGCTTTTCATCCTGTTTACATTCTGACATTCACAATGATTCACCTTTCCATGTGCCTAGGTGAAGCTAAAGTAGGCCCAAGATTCATGTGTTTAAGCAAGTAAAATTTAGTCTAAAATGGTTTCCTGACCGATAACTAGTTCCTATTGCATAATAATATAAAGAAAATAATTATTGGCCTCATTATCGAGTATATCGTCCGGTGAAAATATCGTACTATTCGATACAATTGTAACATATTAAAGAAGTGGGTTGACCTCGTTTTCGCAACTTGGTCTTGTTGTCAGGGCGACTTAGTAGAAAGCACCTTATCCGAAGTCCTCTGTCATAGTAGTTATCATAATTCCCATCATCAGACTGGAAAAGGTGCGTTCTACTACTTCGTCCTGAAAACGAGACCAAGTTGCGAAAACGAGGTCAACCCACTTTTATAAATCGAAAGGAGACTGCGACCATACCGATAGCCACACCAGCTTGGTCTTCACATCTTCGATATAACATAGTAAGTAATATAATTGTTTCGATAGCATTAAAAAAATCCTTAAATGGCACATTTTTTTCTTTTTCTAGGGAACATAAAAGGTAAGGAAAATAAAAGATAATCAAAATAATACCTTTCCGTTTGTTCGCAGTCTTCTTTCGCTTTATAGTATTGGTTCAACCATGTTTTTGCAACTTGGTCGAAGCGTCAGGAACGTACATAGTCCTCCGTTCTCTGCCATAGTATTTGTGCTTTTCATCATCGGGCAATTGAGTTGGTACATTTAAAGACGCTTCGCCTGCATCCTCATTGAGAGGCGCCATCGTTAGCGCAGAGTTACAACTTATCGAAGTGACAAGTGAGGGCATTCTCCGTGATCAAATTTCTGTTCAACCGTTATAACTCCACTCCTCGCTCCTAGTCTCTGTCTTATCTTATAGAGCCACATCTTTTTCTATCAACTCTACTTTCTATCGCCCATTTACCTATTCACACGCTTTTATGTCATCGTTCCCTCCAATTTCGCCAGCGAGTGTGTCGCTACAAGCGGATTTAGTGAAGCATATTCACCTTCACCACCGGTTTCAGATTCCATTTGCAGAGCTTCTGGATCATTCTCTGAGGCTCTTGCTGGCTTTATTCGGAACTGATGTTGTGAAGATGGACCGCTTCTCTTCTCCATTCCTAAATCACACAAATCACAATCCTCTTTAACTGAAGGTTGAATACTGAGATGGTGTGGCCTTAAGTATGGTCAAGGTCTCCTTTCGTTATACAAAATTTGTTTGACTTTGCTTTCGCAACTTAGTCATATTATTAGGAAGACCTAGAAGAACACACCTTGTCCGGGGTCCACACTATGCGTGATAATTTCCAGAGTGGACCTTGGATTTGGTACATTCCCAGACGTGTTTCCGGCATTGTAGTCAGCATCGTAAGTGAGCCCTGCCATTCATAGCACCACACTACAACTTATCAAAGAGACAAATGAAGTCGATCCTTTGACCAATTGTCTACTAGACAATTGTGGAATCTCTCCTTCTGTCCTGGAATATTCACCTATCCTATATCCTCATATAACCTTTTTCAATATCACAATTTGTTACTTGTTTATCTAAACCTAGTTGAGACCTATTCACACGCCCCACAGCCAAACTGTGCTGAGACTGTTGATCTAAGGCTACAGTTTAGCCCGCAATCCTGGTCCTTCAGGTCCTATCAGTCTATCTTTTGCACCGTAGGATCTGTCCCTTATCTGCCTG